GACAAAATGAAACGTCTTCCGACCGAACGGAATCATTCCAGGGTGATCATACTCTTCCCTTCACAAGCCGGTAGCGGAGGAGCGATCTGTCTACTGATACAAATGTGCTACAAAAATAATCGCTCAGTTCACCCGCTGCTGCTGCCGCTAGGAATGCTGGGGGCAAGAAGAGTCTTGACCAACGCCATGCACGGGCTGCGGAAGTCTCTCCCATGCTGCAGGTACAGGTTGAGGTAATGGTACAGCTGGTAGAGCAGTATCCTGTCCTGGTAACCCGGTTCCTCCCTCGGCAGGAGGTCGTGGTACTTGACGAAGAAGCCTGGTCGAAGGAGGCGAAGGAGCGGGGAGTCTACTACACGTTTTCTGTCCTTCACCTGTTTGACCGATGAACGTCCAGTCCTTTGGAGAGAGGCCAACACCGTTCCCTGGCCCGAACCCCACGCCAGGGTACCAGGAATACGGTCGCCCGCTATTCATACACCTAAACTTGCGTACGACTCAGATTCCAAGACTAGAAAAAAATGGATCAACGCGCCCACTCTAACTCTACGATGCGCTGTGTTCCCCAGTCGACGGTAGACACGACAAACAAATAAATGCGACGTCGAAAACCAGGGCCGCCATTTGGTTGTCGGAGAGTACAAAGAAGGCGTATTTTTATCGGTATGCGACCGCACGTACCGCGATGTGGGGGGGTGGGTACATACGTTGCCTCTTTTAGGTGAAAAAACTCTTTTGGGAACGAAATTTCTTGCTGTTTGATTTTTCTAAGTATTATTCTCGCAGTGTATGCCTAACCGCACGCCGTGAGTTCTCACAAACGTCTTGTGTAGACAAACGTTGTTGGGAAATGGAATGGAAAGCGTGAGGTCAAGCGTTGCGCGTAGGTGTAAGTGCGCCCGCAACCTGTGCCTCACCTTTGCAAGGTGATCCGAACATCGTCAGCATGCTCATCTCCATCTCGTAGTGGCCGAAGTAGACTGCGGGGTCGTAGATGACGGGCTTGCCGCTGTGGTCCACACCCCAGTTTCGACTCCACAGATTTCCGTGCAGGAGGCTAGGCGTGATTTTCAAATCCTTGAAGAACCTTCGCGCATTGTTCGCGACAAAGAGTGGGGATAGGGGCGGAAGCGGGAAGTTCGTGGGATAAATAATCGTGTGGAGGGCACAAGAAATACCGCACATGAAACGGGAATGGTGGGAGGAAAAGGGCACGCAAACCTGGTTGCCTTGGACGTACATATCCTTATGTCTGAGGTTTGACCACCCGTACGAAAACGCCAAAAAAATGCGTGGGATGGCAACCATCGAGGGGGATACACCTATCGGAGTCATCGCACCGGGAAGAGATGGAAAAGTTAAGAACGATATGATACTTTTCGGTCCGATAACACCGGCGAAATCCTGCTTCGGGCGAAAGCATGGTTGCGTGCTGCCACGAGTGACTCCAAGTCGTTTTGTTCGCTGATAAAGGGCGCCAATTGCAGTACGTTACGCGGTATACAGTGTCATCGTGGTGCCACTCTATTGGGCCGTCACGGTGCATGCTTTGTCATAAGTCAAGTTGTTCCCGGTGAATCTGTACTTCGTGCACTGGTATACCGTCAACCAGGCACACAAACGCGCATCCCGCAAATCTACAACCTACCAATTCCAGAAGGCACTCATATGGTACGCTTGCCGCCGTACTCGCTGACGAAGAAGACAGAATCGACAGAGGAAAACGCACGAACGAGGACCAAGCTGGAAGATAAGATGAAACCACTCCCATTAGGAGGCCACATCGTTTTTCGCCCTCGGGGCACGCCACAACCAAATGCGCTTTCAGGCCCACTTCTGCACCATTCGCTGTCATCACCAAGCCGCTAGGTATCAGCCACCGCCTACATGTGTAGAGATAACGCATCAGAACGTCCTACAGCACGAAAGAAGGATGTGTTCTACTGATGCACGAACGGTATTCCCAACTAGCGATGTCGGAGTTATCGCACCAGGGGTGCGTTGGAAAAAGCTAGAACGAAGCCATTAAATTGCATTTCCGCACCAGTATCGGGGGTTTCGCACGCATCGGAGTTGTACGTGCGGTAGAACGTCAAGAAAAATGTGACTCAACAAATTATTAACCACGGCGCCATCACACATTCGAGGGTCAGGGCGAATATCTCGTTTTCCAAGGAGGAGGTTGACGTGTGCGACGACACGAACAAGAAATATCTCATAACGAAAACCACCCCACAGCACCGGTACTTGTAGAGCTACCAAATTAACCCACGATGACCAACGCCAACAAAAACCGCATACCAAGCCCTCATGAGAAACCCGACGACAGCTCGCGTGCTTTAGAAAAAACCTATCCCCCGCGCACCCACTTACCTCTCGCGCAGGTTCATCCTGAGCTTCTCCACCTTGGTGGCTACCTCGTGATCCCGGTGCTTCTCCAGGATCATCTCTGCCTGTTGGCCCAGCCTGTGCTTGGAGAACAAGTTGCACCAGTCGTCTTCCCAGTCGTTGATCTGCAGCGACTCGCCGCACCAGGTGTTTCTGCGTCGCCATTGCCATACAACACGCGAAAGGGGGGTATACTCAATATCGGGCAGTATGCCTTCAATCACATCACAAGGCGGGACAGAGAACGCAAGTTTCCGCTGGGTTTTCAAAAAGCCGCGAATCGCCCCGAGATGGTCACCCGCGGGAGGGAATGGACTAGGGGAAATACAAATTTGTGCTACGTAGTTTTAAGTCAAGTCGCGGGGTCGAAATCTTGATTGACACAAGAGGAACATTGCAAACAATACCTACGTTGGAATTGGAGCTACAATGCAACCACGGGGCTTGACTCAGTGGGAATTTCTTCGGGTAAGAGGTGGCTCTCATGGCAGCAACGTTGTGTATCACGTATTCCTGAGGTGAGCATCGATATCTGGGGCACAGCCGCGTCGCACGCTCGCGACAAGGTATGTGGGTATCTGCACGTTTACGTTTTATTGCAACCCTGGTAAATATATTTTTACTTTTACACAACAGAGACGCCTTTCGAGCTGAGCACGGGATGGCAAGGTTCCATCGATGAGCTGGCAAGAACGTGCTTCGTACGGCAACAGGGCTCCAAGTTCCAGGCGCACCTGAAGTACCCGAAGTTGGGGCAGATAAACGTCCTTTGCATCCGAGCTAGCTTCTCACCAAACTGGAGCGGCGGCAGCGCGTCAGGGGTAAGTTCATGGGGTGGTGGGGGAGCGAAAATGGACGCGTACGATTTGCTGCACAACACATGGGAGGAAGTGCCCAAGCCTCATTCCAACCGACTATTACACACTGGATGAACGGTGCGAGGCCGAAGGGAAAGGGTGGCAGCACCAACAACAGTACCCCTGGCGGGGACTGACCGTACAACAAGCGATCCTTTCGATTTTTCGAGGGAACGGCAGTGATTTTCGGACAAAGACAGACACCGTGTAACCTGTTGCTGAACCCTTTGGTGGCCACGGCAGAACTGCATGTTTTCAACAGCTGATTGCACAACGAACACGAACATCGCAACGATCCCACTTTTGTCGTGCTGGAAGATATTTTCATAACAAGATACACTTGTGCGTGTCACAGAAAGAGAGACAGGGCCAAAAGGTAGCTTGTGCTGTGGTCTACCTTCCGCTATTCGTCCAGCGAATACGCGGCTTCTTCCACGGCAATCAGAACAAAAGAAACAACAACAACAACAACAACAACAACAACAACAACAACAACAACAACAACAGCAGCAGCAATACAATACTCTTGGCTAGCTCTTCACTATAGCCCACCTTGCGTTGCTCTTCAGTGGACATGGTTTCCATCTTGACGTATTCCAGGATCAACGCCGCTCCTCGCCCCTCCGGAGAGTAGCTAGCGCGATCACTCTCGGGACTCTCACGGTTCGGGTAGTAAGTCTCTGCCCCGAGAACGTACGAGCGCACATCTTCTTGTCACAGACCATCGAGTACAACCAGGGAAATTTCAAGCACACCCTTGTACCCGCGATGTAAATCGCGGGACTCTCAACCTGCGGAGGGTTCTCGCTGCTGTTGTGGTACGTGCAGAAATGACGTGTTCTTGGAAATGCGAACACGGGCGGCTTGGGAGGCTTCAACGATAGGCCTGTCGGTCGGAAGAAGATAGATGCGCTTGCTAAAGACTCAAGATACAGATATATCTACCGTATTCGAGGGGCGCGCTGAAGCCATTGTAAACTATCTCTTTCACATGCAACCTGCCCCTTCAGTCCGCTATAACGCGTTTAGCCTCAATACTCTCTTGTCTCTCTTAATCTCAGTCAGACTGTGTAGACTGCTGCTGTAGACTACGATGTGCTCCTGCACCTGCACATGGTACATCTCCGATATCTCCGAACCGGGGTCACGACTCAACTATCCCCGAACCACCACAAGGCCTCGACAACTTCATAACAAGCGGCGCGCGGGGGGCGCGGGCGCCGTTCTGGAACGGACGAGGCCAGAGGCCAGGGAACATCTTGCTTGAGTGACACATACCACTAACGCTCTATAGAGAGCGGGGTGCGTGTGCGGTGTTGCTTGCAAGTCCACCTTATACTGAGATACTGGGGAACGAAAAGCTGCTGCTAACCATGTCGGCGGCGCAACTGAAGCAGGTCTCGAGCGGCAGGGATTTGGGAGAGATGGAGGAGCTCAAGGTGAGATAGATATGCATACGTACCAAGAGAGCAGATCTGGGTGGGCGAGTGCCTTATCTCTCGCCTTAGGAGTGGGCTTGGATCGAGCTGCGTGGGGCTGGAGTAGTGCAGCATTGCGTTGAGAATGTCGGTACGGCGGTACAATGGCCTCCACAAGGTACAGCCGTTGTCCCTGCGATACATAGGCAAACCTGGTACCATCCTACCATTTACATAGCAGTAATGAGAGCATCGGGACCTCTGGCATTTTGATAGCGACACCCGCCAGACTACAAGGTGCTTGGAGCTTTGTATCAAAATTAACGTTATCGTGTCTGCTGCGCAGGAGATTCGGAGTACGTGCTGAAATTCCTGGAGATGTTGTAGGGCACTCGTGCTACTTGTGCTACTTGTAATGCACGTACCCGCAATAGGTGACAGAACATACCACACCCCCTGAACCGGTTTTCAAAGCTCGATTTCTCCACAACAGAATGGGTGGCAGCGCCGAAATGGTGGCGTTGAAGCCGTCTCGTGGATAGCTTTCCGAAAACGTATCGGTTCATTTCTGCATCCTCTTGGTCGTGGAGTAATCGAACTTTGAAGGTTGTAAGGTCGGCCAAGGGGGGGGTGGTATCTTGTGCCATGTCACCTACCGTAGGCAGCGGTACAGCATCTTGTCGAAGGAGGTCCGTCTAAACTAAATATGCATGAATATGTACTAGTAGTCTAGTGCTGTTTCGAGACTAGACACAAGAGGTGTTGGTGTACACAATTTCATCCACCCGGGCACTCTCGCGGCCAAGTCAACGACTTTCGTCGAAGACAAAACGACCTCGGACGGTTCACCAGCACACAGCCTCTTCTTTCGCAGTTTTACTCCTCTCTTGACACGTGGTGCTAAATTATGTGCAGATTGCAGCCGCTCTTGTTTTTTGGGTGAAAACCTATCGTATGGCGGCGTCCCGCGCAACGTGTCCTCATCCTCGCCTCCCTCCCCCCTTACACACGCAGAAACTCATTTTAAGCGAAAAGGCCCGCACGAAGCACAGCGATGGCGGAGGCGGCGGCGCGGGCGAGAGACGTGTAGACGGTGGCGACGTTTCCGACGACGACGAGGGGGAGGGAGACACGAGGGACAGGGGAGGCGGGGATCGTGGAGGCGGGGGTCGAGCCGGCGGCGCCGGGGCGAAGGAGAAGAAGCAGAAGGGAACGTGAGTTCGAGAAACCATGAAGTCGGAAGTTTTGTAGTTGATGAACAAAAGTCGTGTTCGTGTGTATTTGTACAGGCGTGGTCAGATTGAGTTCGAACGATGAAGTCAGGAGTTGCATTTTTGTGTTTTCGCACAGGCGTGTGCCCATTCCCAAAATCACTTCACCAATCCCGCCGCGCCATGCCCGATGAAGGTGGCGGACGCCACATGCATTCATTTTCTGCAAACAGCTTGAGCAAGTTTGAAAAACTGCTTGGTGCGTTGCAAATGGAGAGGCACGGGGTGTCATACAATCTTTGAAGCGACAAGTTCAAGTATTGAGTACACGAGTACACACCGCTATTTGGCCTCCCCCGCCGCTGACCTCCCCCCCCCGGTGTTTGCCATCGGGGTTGGGTTGTCGTCGCTTGGCAACGACGATGTAAAACAAGCCCCCCCCTCGGCGTTTGCCATCGGGGTTGGGTTTTCGTCGCTTGGCAACGACGTTGTAATACAAGCCGATCACTTCGTGAGCTCGGCAACCAGGTTTGCCGCTTTTTTTTGTCTTCTTTTTTTTTCAACCATGACTGGTGGTCGAGTAGATTATGTTGTGCGGGGTCGAGAACCATCACTCCGCGCAAAGGAGATGATCGCACCACGTTGTGTTACATTGGTCAAGCACCGTCCAGGCAGTTACACAGTGCTTATAATTGTCTCTGGAAGTGAAAGCACGAAAATAAATTAAGTCATATTGTACGCAGCTGTCATCCGTACGCAAGGAATTATGCACAAGATGCCGAACGCCCTCAGCAGGCTCACCCTTCATGCGACTCGCGGAATACCTCACGGTGCTTCGCGCTTGGTGATGTGAGAGCCTGGTCCTGTGAGAACCCGGCGTGCTCCGTCCCGGCTTTGTAGGGATGCGAGCTCAATGGTCTAACGACTACGTCATGCACGACTATGAGTACCCCCCCCGCCGCCGCCGCTGATAGACAATAGAATGGGAGACATGTTGGAGGGGAAACAAAAGATCAGCGAAGGACAAGCTGGATTTAGACCAGATCGTAGTTGTGTAGACCATGTATATACGTTGAGTAAAATCATCCAAGGTAGGAAAGACGCCGGGCGTACGACATACTGTTTCTTCCTCGATATACAAAAAGCCTACGACACCGTATGGCGCAATGGATTGTGGAAAAAGATGTGGGACATCGGCATCCGGGGGGAAAATGTGGAGGATGTTGAAAAAGATGACAGAATGCACAAGAAGTGCGGTGATGTTGGATGGGGAAATTTCGAAGTACGTGGATATACTCCAAGGAGTCGCACAGGGCTGTACGATGTCACCCACTCTTTTTAAGATTTACATCAACGATTTGATAAGGGCGGTTGAAGCAGTAAGACAGGGAGTCCAAGTAGAGGGAAAGAGTGTGTCCGGACTGATGTTTGCAGATGATTTCGTGGGGGTATCCGAAACACCAGAAGGGTTGCAAGAACAAATAGATGCGGCGGTAGGATACACCCGAAAATGGAGACTGTCGGCGAACGTAGGAAAATGCGCAGTAGTGGTCTGTAACGAAGATAAGAAAAATCCCGTAGAATTCAAATGGAAATGGGGGGAGGAAGAACTACCGGTAGTAGACAAGTATACGTACCTGGGAGTAGAGATTTCGAAGGAGTGCTCATGGGACGCACACATAGCGAAGTTGATTGGGAAGAGTAAAGCTCAGATAGGCAAGATGGACGAGATCCTTACGGACCCACACCTAGACACTAGGATTAAGAGGTGTATTCTCTTGAAGGTGATTGTACCTAAGCTAGAGTATGCAGGAGAGATATGGGAAGGTAACGAAAAGGCCGTCAAGCAGCTGGAAACAGTGCAGATGGCAGCGGCCAAGAAAATACTAGGATGTTCAAGTACAACGAGCAACACTGTATTGAGAGCAGAATTGGGAATGTACTCTCTTAAAACAAAGAGAGACATGCAGAAGTTGAATTGGCAGTACAAGGTAAGTAGAATGTCGGACGATAGACTACCAGCCATGGTTGACGAGGCAGCTTGGCGAAAAGCGACTCCAGGGAAGAAGGGAATCAGATGGGACAAGGTGGTAGAGAAGGTTTGGAAGGAGATAGGAGACGAGGAGGAGACGTTGGACACGGAAGGGTTCGGGGGGTTCAAGACGAAAGTCAAGGAGATGCTAGAGAGTAGGGAGGAGGCAACCCTTCGGAAGAAGGTACGAAGCGAAGACCACTTGGAGATATACGGGAAGTTGAAAGAAGGGATAGGGATGAAGAAGTACTTGGACGGCCCCATGGACTATGCGAAAAAGCTGAAATTGCAATTTCGAGTAGGCGATCTGGACTTGCCAGAACGGAGGAAGAGATATACCAGCCGTAGGAGAGAGGAAGAGGAGGATAGACACACATGTCCATGTGGCAAATCGGAGGAGAGTAGACCCCACATAGTTGGGGAGT